CTGCAAAAAGCGAGAAAAATGTTAATATTTTTTAAAAATCACGCGCACTCGTTGAATAAGAATGCTATATTTGATTCATAATTAGTTATCTTCTTTGGTTAAGGACTTCAGTAGGAAGGCAGCATGGTATTATCCTCAAGATAATCAGATAAGTGCACGTCATGCTTTTTTCATCATACAGTCCTAAGTACTTTCTTAAAAGCATGCTTTTCAGGGTGTGTGTATGTGTGTGTGTTAGGTCCAAGGCGGGGTGGGTGTGCCAAAAAGCGGCAATTCTGAAGCAGGGGAAGGGGGGGACAAACACACACAACACATATACATATAGTAGAACGTACCTTTATAGCCCTTTCCCTTGGTAACTCCAATCACGTCGATCATTTCGTCAGCAGCGAACACGCTACTGATAGGCACAGGTTTCTCCAAATGTTCGCGCGCCCATTGCACCTTATCCTCAATGGTGCCGCCGTTCAATTGAATTTCCATAATATGGGCTTTCTTTTGACGTTGCCTCAACAGTTTCATCTAGGAGACAATGAAAAGAATAAATTACACAGTGCAACAAATTTTGATCATTTATTTATTTTTCAACCCATTTTTTTTATTCCTTTATTGCACTAGAATTCTCTTTCTTGCTTCCGCCAAATATTAAACATATATCTATCCTATCTCACTTGTTCCCAAAGTGCATACTAGTTCAACTCTACAGAAAATAACTTACAAGTAACAAATCTTTTTATACTTAAAAGGAAAGCTTTTAAAAAATTCCATCATCCTTCAATTTGTAGAAATTCCATTTTCAATCTGTTGCATAATAATGTAAATTTGTAGTAAGAGTGTTAGAAGAAATTTATATATTTTTTAAAAATATATATAAAAGTAAATGTGATGGCGTGTGAAGCCTCTTTTATCGTTTATTACAATTTAAGTAAAATATTGAAATAATAAAATTTATTAATATCATTTTTAATAATATAAAAAATACTGATTAACAAGGTTTTCGTTTTTCAACACAATTTGGATGGTGATTTATGTTTTTATGTATTTTATGTGTTTTTTTTTATTATGTATTTTACTTTATAAGAAAAAAGTTGTATATTATTTAAATTTTTAGTTTTTTTCGGAAAAAAAATTCTCAATCTATGGCCAATGGAACTTTCTTAATCTTATATTCTTTTTTAGTAGCTAAAAAGTGTACAAGAATCACCATTGAGTTGGTAAGAAACAAAAACTTTGTAACTGTATTATCATCACAAGTGTATATATCCAATATTTTAATATCGTCGCATAGTCCAGTTACCTGAGTATGAGCGATGATGCGAACGACACTGCAATATTTCTTGATCTTCTTGAGATCAGCCTCGATGGACTTGCGGCCGAGGTCATCTTGCCATTTCTTTGACGCTTTCGTAAATGCCTTCTTTTTGCTCTTATACCTGTCGGAAAATCAATTGCAATGTCCATCTATGCATGTGTCTTGCGTACACCATCTAGATATCTCTGTAACGTGCCAGTCTCATCGTAATGAGTGGAGATTGAACACATTTCTTGGACTAACCATATTAAAAATCAAGCTTTAATGGCCACATCCAAATGATTACTCTCATCGTGTGAGCGGAGAGCTGATGCAATAGTTTTAGTATCGTGTATGTAAAAGAATGGTATAGTTGTATAACGAGAATTAAGAGAAGTATAAAGAGAACTGTACCAGGCATGGTTTGTCTCAATGGTCACTGCCTAATAGGCTCCAAAAAGTCTATGGAATATACCTTGTTTCCATGCATTCTGCACAAGCAGAGCACAGCGTTTTTTTTCGACATGGCAGTCTTGAGAACTTACTGCATTGAAAGCAGCTCTCACACTGCAACCCAGATGAATCAATGCGTTTCCGCACTGATCAACATCCAAGTTAACACGTCGCAATTTGTATAATTTTAAAGCCAAAATATACGATCATTTTTAATATTTTAAATAGTTTCTACTAACCAGTTCTTGTAAAAACGCCTGCGGCAGTCTTCTGACAAATGTTCCGCCCAGACAGTGGCAAGCGCTCTAAGTCCATGTGGTGTTTCAATGTATCCAACAAGGCCAACAACAATCATCGGTGGAGTTTCGAGGATAGTAACAGCTTCCACAATCTCCTTCTTATTCACCTCTGTAAAAAAAATTGATATTTATTTTCTGTAGTAAATTCTTTAACATTTTGTAATGTTATTAACAGGGTTGAGAATTTCATAAAAGTAACACGTTATCGTCACAATTTCAATATTTACTGTAAATACTGAAAATTTATAGTTACCGTTATATATATGTATACAGATTTTCAATATTGGCAGTGACTCAGAATATTAATATTATGCCTAAGAAATGAAATACAAAACATTTTTTGATATTTAAATTTCTATTATAAAATGTTTCAAGCCAATTAAAAATAAAGGTTGTAAATTGTAATGATAAAAGTAATAGCTGAATTCATTACCATTATCGGTCTAGATAGAAAAAGTAATGAAACAGTAATGATGTTATGAATAAAGCTAACATTTTTCATGTGTTGTATGACAAGGCTTGTAAAGTCTACTTGATTAGCTACAGGACAGGTTCTCAGATCTCTCTGTCCTACAGCCAATGAACACAATGAAAAGCACAAGCAATAAGAACAGAAAATAACAAATTTTAACCTATCAAAAACCATATATACTAGAATGGACGCTTTCTGATAGGTTGTAATCTCTTCCCTGTTCCTATTGTCTGCACTGTTCATTGTTTCTGACTTCGATAGACTTAAAAAAAATTTATTGTACGACACATGAAATATTAGGCTAAGGACTTCAATACGAAGATGGTCGTAAATGAATCATGAAACATGAGTTGTAAGGTCTGTTTTCTATGGCTGAACTGGTGTATATTTTAGGAACTTAAAGTGAGATAGATATACATTTGATATTTGTCGAAAGCAAGAAAGAGAATTTTAGAACAGTCTAGTGCAGGAACTTTTCTAGAACTCTCAAGAAAAGGAACAATAGTCATAGATCAACGCACAATGTTTTGGTCAATCTATAACCACAACTTTGAACTTATGTTCCATGATTCAGTTATGGTTATCTTTGTGCTCAAGTCTTAATGCTTTCAATTTAATTTTTACTATCTCATTTTCAATTTAATATCCATTTCAAGACTTAAAAAAAGAATTAAATCACACAATGATTTTTACGTTTATAGAACTAGACATGTACAAATTTACACTAAAATACTAAGTACAAATCAAATTCTAGACCTAGAATAACACATTTTTATTTTTTAGCTGTGTTATATACGTACTGCTCAAATATCACTTATTGTTTAGTATTTATAAAATGTAAAATTAATAAAAAAACATGCTTATCTTGAAGAGACTGTACTAGGTATGGTTTGTCTCAATGGTTACCGCTCAACGAGCTCCAAAGAGTTTATGGAATATACCTTGCTTCTATGCATTCTGCACAAGCAGCGTACAGTGTTGTTTTTCGATATGGCAGTATTGAGAACATACTGCATTAAAAGCAGCTCTCGCACTGCAACCCAGGTGGATCAACACATTTCTGTATTGATCAACTTGGGTTAACACATCACAAGTTCATATACATTCTGAACAAACATATAGAATATTTATGCTGATTCTACAATAAGTCGGTAGCTGGTAGTCTTCAACAGTCAACTTTACTGATAAGACCTAAAACTACCAACTATCGATTCATTGTAGAATTAGAGAAAAATATTCTTAAAAAATGGTGCCAAAAGGTTCGTGAGCTATCGCCGTGTTAATGCCAACGTTTCATGAACGCAAAGGTTCACAAAACGGCATTAATAATGGATCATGACACAGCGATGACACGTAAATCTTTCGGCTCCAAAAAAGAAATATACATATATATATAAATATATAATCGCGAAAACATCAAAAGTATTATTCTCGAAAAAGTTCAGCAATTATACAAAATATTTTTACAAATTTTTGTCTTATAACATACTCACTTGACCCAGGACGATCAGCTTCCCTTACTACGTGAGTCATACCAGCTTTGTAACCGATAAAAGCAGTCAAGTGTACAGGTTTGCTAGGATCATCTTTTGGAAAAGCCTTTACTTTTCCACGATGTCTCTGAGATCTTTTCTTTGGGTAGAACCCCATCGACCCGTGTCGAGGGGCGCTGAACTTTCTGTGCGACTACAATAAAAGACGCAGGAATGAGACACGTGGAACAAACGTACAATTAAGATTTTTCGATAAAAAGAAAATCAGACCGCCCTAGAATACTGTCGTCAAGATTATTCAGACGAAAACCATAAACTTTTAATCTAAATCATCATGTTAATGATATAAATTATTACGAGGCATCGGCGTCGCACAAAGGAACCATGTGCTTGTAAAATTATCTATCTGTTCCCATCGCAAGATGCAAACAATACCGTCGACATTTGCTATAATATTTGTCTAGAAATTTGAAAAAAATATTTAAAAGCACGATTACGTAGATTTTCGACGCCGATGCCAAAGAAAAAGTGCTAATTTCGTTGGATACACGTACATACTGCAAACACCACTTACCATTATCGTCGATGAAGAAAATGAAGCAAAATGGAGGCTGCAACGACGGAACGACTGCTTTTATACCCGACTACATTTAAGATGCATTCACATGCAAGCGTCAGAGTGCGCTCCAATGAGATGCGGAACTGCGGAACGTTCATGATTGGTGACTTCATTCCGCTGATTCCGCTGTTTTCTATTGCACAAAATTCTTTCTTCTGATTGGTCAACGAAGTGTTTACAGCGTTAAATGAATTACACCTATGACAGATTTTCTAACCTAAATAGTCGTCAACTTTAACGATAAATATCTCGCTTCGCGAGACTAGGCACATTTAACTGCCAGATTCTTTCGTTTCATGCAAAAATGCGTCGAATGAACATAATTTTATTGAATTTGATGTAAAGAGCGTTTTTTTGATAATTACCATAACTTCTTATCTAAAATGGTTCGATATTGCGTTTTGTGTTGTAATCATGATGAAACAGTGTCTTACCACAAGTAAGTGTATACACAACTCGTAATTATCAATAAATACTTGTATTCTGTACTCGCATATTTTAGGTTAAGTAAAATTATATTCCAATTCTTGCAGATTTCCAAAAAATGTGCAAATAAGAAAAAAATGGATAGAGTTTTGTAATTATGGTGAAAATTTTGTGGTCAAAACTTCTACTTATTTATGCTCAAAACATTTCACGGAAAAAGATTACCTACTTACAGCAACTAGGAAAATTTTAATGAGTGGAAGCATACCATCTATTTATCGTGTCAAAAAAAGAAAAAGGTATGTATATAAAAAATAAACGGTGTTATATAAAACAAATTGTTTGATTTGGTTATTTTTTAGTATTTATGTAATATATATTATAATTGTAGGAATCAAAATAACAGCAAAGTTGAGATTGCAAAATCCTACAAAAGTGAATATATGGTAAATATATGTCAAGAGGAACCATGCTCAACAATAGTATGTAAGGAGGAACCATCATGTTCAACTACAATAAATGTATGTAAAGAGGAACCATCATATTCAACTATAATAACTGATAAAAATATAGACGAATTAATTCCTGAGAAAGAGAAAATTGATCATGGTAAGTTTCTTTAAATAATAAACTAGCAGCATATATGATACACATTTTCTTACTGGATTGCTTGCGTTCTGATAAATTAATAAAATTGTATAATTCTAAATATATAATATAAATATAAAATGCATAAATAATTTCCACTAATTTACTACAATGCATGCAATCGAGCAAGAAAAAATGTATTGTATACTGCTGACTTTAGTTGCATGACTCTGAAAGTATGATTTCACTGTTTATTCTTTAACGTGTATATTAAATATTTCGTATTTATGAGTGGTAATCTTAATTATAATTCAATACATGGGAATATAGTATTACGAATTATCATTATTCATCAGGTATTGATGGAATGTCGCTGATGAACTTTACTCATCCAAACCCTCCACATGAACCACGTTATATTGGTGATATTAAGATATCACATTTAGCTACACCAGAAAGAGCTGAAAGAGCTTTAAATCTAGCAAAACTCACAGTAAAAAAACAAAGAAGGAAAATTTTAACTTTACAACAAACAACTGCTAGATTGAGAAAGCGTATTAAAGTCATGAAAGCTTTGATAGATCATCTAAAGAAAAGAATGTTAGATCAGATGGTGCTGCTGAACGATAATGGTATAATTTGACAAAATTGTATATAATAATGAATCAAAATGAATTGACATACAATCCAGAAATTAATAATAACGCGGTAGTCTTAAGATTGATTTTGAATTGTACCTTAAATAATAAAATATACACTTTGTATTTTTTAAACACAGTTACTTGACCCAATGCGAGAAAATTTAAAATGTAAAAAAGCCAGAAAGAAGAAATATTCACCCAAATTAAGAGCATTTGCACTGAGTAGCCTTCATTTGGACACGTTGCAAACCCAGGTAGCAAGCTACGTCATTTTGACGTCATTTTGACGTCAGCTTGCTACCAGGGAATGGACACATTAATATTGGACATGTATCACTTGGACTAACCCTAATCTAATCTAGGATCTTATTTTAACATGTTCAAGTGTCCAATATTAACGTGTCCAAGTGATACGTGGTCCAAGGGGTCGATTCTGTATCTTTAAACAAGGTGAAAATTACAAAAGTGAACAAATTTACTAGGTGTTGACCAATGAAATGATCAGTATTCTAGTAAATTCGCTCACTTTTGTAATTTTCACCTCGTTTCAAAATACAGAATCGATCTCCAAGTGATAAAGTTTTAAAGGGTCCTCTACATAGACTACATTTACACGGCACCCTTAATCGAGTTTAATAACATCCGTAGTTATGAAACTGGCCAATCACAATCATTCCATTCTCCCGACGAAAAGCTATGATTGGCCAATTTCATAACTACGTATGTAGTATTAAACCCGATTAGTCCGGATCTACAATAGGTGTTTTATGCCTTATGCCGTAAGAAACTGACCAATTACAGTCAAGTTGTAAACGATCGTGGAGTCTTAAGTCGTAGAAAACCAATCAATCACAATCAAATATAAGGAGAATACTCGATTGGAATTGGTCAGTTTCCTACAACTTAAAGCGGGGTCTACAATAGAAGTCGTAGCAGTCGTAGGCTTAAGTCGTAGAAAATTAACCAATCACAGTAGAATATGAAGGCCCGTCTACAATACACGGAGTAAGAAGTAAGAGTAAGAAATTGACCAATCACAGTATAAGCGTACCGTGTAGCAGAGTGCTGTGCATCATAAATGGTACACAGCCATCTGAATTTGCAGGAGTATTGAGGCATACTCAAGACGCGCGTTCCTTTCTAAATATTCGTGCATTATGACTAATCTCCTCCGTCCATAATCCTCCGAAAGGATTGGAAAGGATGTGAGGTGACTTCTATCATATGCACTGTGCTGACTGTGCGTGGCAAGGATGCTTTTGGTGGTTTGCCATTGCCTGCCGAGAGAAGCTACGAGCGTACGAAAATTTTCCGATTCTGCCTGGGATCGAATCCGGAATCTCTAGGGCCGGTATTCATAGTCGAGTCTTATTTCAAGACTGTCTTAAGTAATGTCTTAAGACACTAATGAACGGTATTCATAGTCCGTTCTTATTTTAAGATCGTCTTAAGTAATGTCTTAAGTCGCTAATGCGGCCTTCTGATTGGTTCATGACATCTTAAGACTGTACTTAAGACGGTCTTAAATATAAGATCCGACTATGAATACCGGCCTGTGATTGGTCAATTTCTTACTCTTACTTCTTACTCCGTGCATTGTAGACAGGCCTTGAGAAGAATAATCGACTATGATTGGTAAATTTTCTACGACTTAAGACCCTACGACTGCTACGACTTCTATTTTAAGGCCCGTCTACAATACACGGAGTAAGAAGGAAGAGTAAGAAATTGACCAATCACAGTCGAAGTCTTGAATATAAGATCCGACTATGAATACCGGCCTTAGTCTGTTTTCTGTGGCTGAACTAGTGTACACTTTTGGAACTTAAAGTGAGAAAGATATACGTTTGATATTAATTGTTTAAAGCGAGAAAGACAGTTCTAGAACAGTCCAGTGCAGGAACAGTAACAGACCATCTGACATAGGGTGCCTTCCACTCAACGCCCGCGACGCTCGTGGAATCATTTTATCCTTGTTGTTTATCAAATATTAAACACTCGCTTTATTACCCCATGGATGCATCCACTGATTGGTCGCGTTCAGCAGACTCAACTGTTGTGGAGCGGATCCGTGAGCGCTCGCTGCTATTGGTAATCCACTAGGATTCTAGTGGAATCCCGTTTGGGCCGAATACGTTACTTCATATTGTTCAACCATGCATGGTTGGCAGCAATGGCAGCCGTGATGGCAGTCATCATGGCTACTGTCGTGTTTTATCTGTGTCCGTTATCGAGTATCGTTGTCAGTTGAACGAATTTTTATCTTGTCGTTATTTCTCGTTGATCATTTCGTGAAAAAGTTAATTATTTATACAATATCTTTTGTTTACATGAAGATACGACGCTATCGTCATGACGACCGCATTGTATTTAGAGCATTATCTCGACAGTGAGTATTGGCGTTGTATGTACATACATTGTGTACGTGTGTGCTAGCTTATTTCTTCAAATTCTTACATTCCCTTTTTTTATTCTTCGAGAGAAAAATAAAGATACAGTAAGAAAATGTGGAAGATTATCGAGCGCAAACGCGTTTTATTTTTTTTTATTTATTTAGTCCTATCTTTTTCTCGCGTCTAAATTTTTCTATATCTTTTAAAATTTTTGTTTATTTGTTTGCGTTGCGCGGAATTACGTTTGTTTCTCAATAGAAGTTTGAAATTATAAAAACATACTTTCTGTTAGTGTCTGAATTGAAGGATTTGACATTTGCTTTATTAGATACCTAACCTAACTTTTTCAAAAATAAAAGTTGATTAAAAAGAAAAAGAATAATTTCTAATATTTTTTTTTATCTTTTTTGAGAGGTATAGTGTTTATTATATTTATATATAAGTCTCTAATTTATATGCAATTAAAGTTAATTTAGTATTGAATTTAATTTTTGAGATAAATTAAACTATGCATTTTAAATTAGACTCTACTTCTCATTAATTTTTGTTTTAGTAGTTTTCCTCGTAATTAAAGTAGTTTACACTCACTTTACTTGAAATAGAATATATGAAATATTCGACAAAAGCAAAATATAAAATTTTACTGTAGTCTAGTGCAGTTAAGGAATAGTTCCTTTAAATGTACAAACATCCAAAATAGTTCTTTAGTTAGTATTGGCTGTATTTAGCAGAGAAAACTGATTAGTTATATTAAGCTACAGAAATGCTTCTATTGACTAAAAGATTCTCAGATAATAATGCAATATTCAAATTAATTTCGTATAGTTATAAGTTTGGACATGAACACATACATTTGATTTCTGCTTATGTGCGTTGCAGGTCTCGAGCATTTGCCAATTGAATTACAGAGGAATTTTACACTAATGCGTGACTTAGACGCTAGAGCTCAAGGTCTTATGAAAGATATTGATAAACTAGCAGATGATTACTTGAGAAATATGAAGAAGGAATTGCCAGAAAAGAAAAAAGAACAACTCGCTCATATACAAAGTCTCTTTAACAAGGCTAAGGAATATGGAGATGACAAGGTCCAATTAGCTATTCAAACTTACGAATTAGTTGACAAGCACATCAGACGACTGGATTCAGATTTGGCAAGATTTGAGGCAGAGATACAGGACAAAACATTAAACAGCAATAGAGCACAGGAGGAGAGCAATGCTAGCAAAAAGGGTAGGAAGAAGCTCAAGGAGAAGGAAAAGAGAAAGAAGGGTACGGTAGTTAGCAGTGAGGATGAGGCCAAGAATGCAAGAAAGAAACAAAAGAAAGGTATATTAATCAAGTTATATAATTGTAAGTTGCTATAATTTTATAAATTTTTAAATATTAAATCCATTACATCTTATTATAAATGCATATATTTTCATATCAGGTGGCTCAGTAGCTTCAGCATCGTCCACCGGCGCTGTAGGAAGTGGCGCTCAGGTAGATGCAACAGCACTTGGCCATCCAGCCGACGTTCTTGACATGCCTGTCGATCCTAATGAACCGACTTACTGTCTTTGTCATCAAGTATCATATGGAGAAATGATTGGTTGTGATAATCCAGATGTAAGTTTTGTTTAAATCTTTTTATTGCAATATCTATTAGAAATTAAACGAATGAAACTTTGTTATCTATTTTTTTTAATGAATTTTTTCAATTTTCATTTTAATTCTCGATATCACAGGATCAAGGTAATTAATTCTTTTTTTCTTTTTCATTTTAGTGCCCTATAGAATGGTTCCACTTCGCCTGCGTGGGTTTAACAACAAAACCTAAAGGAAAATGGTATTGTCCCAAATGTACGCAAGATCGCAAAAAGAAATAAACCTTGGAAATGATTATCATCGATTTGAAGAAAAGATTAGTGCAAAACTGTTTCATATTGAAAGTAAATCGACTTTTGTATAAAAGGACGATAAAAAATTTGTAAGAGATGTGTAGAGAGAGAAAGAGAGAGTAGAACTGCATTTCCATTTGCATCTAATACTAATAACGAGGTAATTCTTTCATTTTTACGTGACGTGTATAATAATAAATATATGACACGTAATCACATATTCGCTTATCGTTATAATAAATAATGTCTATAAATAATGTCTATACATAATTTCTCCAGAAATGATTGTTGTAATAAATTAAATTTCCTTTTATCATCATAGAATTACATTACGGGTTTTTTTTCTATATTAAAAGGAGTCTATTGAAGTGACTATGATTTGTATATATAGTGAGTTTAAGATCTTATTTTTAAACGTATCAAATGGACGATACATAAATGACATTTTATTATTGATTCAAATATCATAAGTGAATTTTTATTATTAATTTTAGATGTAATGGAAGCACAGTTCAAATGGAAACCTATCACAGACGGAAAACGTTTTGAGAATCGGCCATCATCTCGCTATCGCTTCACAATACATTCTCTTTATATATTAAAATAGTAACTTATTATTGATAATGCAAATCGCGCTTTACATTTTCGACGGCCGTTTCTTGAATATATCTGTGATTTCACTCGCTAAGACTATTATATTTATCGACTTACAGTTTTAATTAGTATATTAAATTAACGTTATTGTTTTTATATGTTAAGAAACAACGCTTTATATACATGAAGTAAACTCCTGTTAATGATGAAAAGTGTATTATAAACGAAGTATGGCAATATGATTAAAAAAAATATATTTAGTTCATCGAAACTTATTTTGTCTATCTTTTCATTGCTAAATATTTACAAAATATATTTACAAATGTTTTAAATTAATTATTTAATAGCGCTGTCGTACAATTATGCTCGAGTAATGAATAAAATCCAGATTTGAAGTTGCTTCAATTCTTTCGACAAAATGTCGCAAAGTCTGTTCGCTATAAATTTTCGCAACTTTCTTCAATAATACTGTTTAAATTACTTATTCTTAAAAACGGCTACATTTTTATAGCATTTGGTATCAATATATCCTAATGAAGATATAAGTCAGAACATAAATAGAAGGTTTATAAATATTATAGAAGCCGTTACAAATGTATGTGAGATAAACATGTTTTCTGAGCAAGTATTAAAAAACGCGACTAGAACGTTGCAGAAATCTCCCTGTCGCATTAAGGAATACCGGATTGTCTGTTGCAACACTGACTGGGTGGTACGGTCCAATTATACTGATAACTCATGCGATTCCTAAATTCTTTAGGACACAGTGCGCCTAAGGAGGCCTGATAATAGTCGTGCATACTCAGCATATTCTGGACCGTAAGTTTGTGCGTAATTATGTACTGATTGGAACAACCACGCGATCTGTATTCCGTATCGAAGCGTACGTCGTGTTTCCTCTCGATGTTCGCCAATGGTGCAAGCCAGAGACCGACGGAGACATCTTCGGAATTGTGTAATCTAGGATTGTGCAGGGGTGCATGAATTTGAAAGAACAATATCACAGAAAGAATTAATTAAGACTAGGGTGTAAAGCTTGTGAAAAATTTTGTTAGAATTCTTTATATAATTATTAAAATAATTTAGAAAATTTCTCAATTTTTTTTTTTTTTTTTATACGAATTGAAATATTTTTCATGAATTGTGAAATATTGTTTAAGATTTTTCACTTTATAATTTCTGAAGACAATTTCGCTTGTAAATTCTAAAAAAGTTTAAAATATTTTTGTAGAAATTTTCATAAATTTAAAATATGACAAATTCTCTTAAAAATATGACATTCTTAAAAATAAGAAAAATCTTTTTTCAGGGAACATACAAAATTACTGTTCTTCATTATATGGCAGAATCTTATATGCAAAGTGTATAGTGTTCCGTTTAGACCGTTTAGACATATAATAAAAGAAAAATTCATAACATACAAAGTACTGGTTCTAAGACAGAAGGTGGACGCCAGTGTAAAGAGTAGCTCTGAAATCTATTTTTGAGCCTTTTGCATCTGGAAGAATATGTATCGCTAATAGATTGTAACGAATTCAGCATATGTCTAATTGTAAGCGGAACACTGGTGAAAATAATTCTCATAATATATCATAATATTTTTAAAAATATGTTGATTTATTAAATTAAGTATGAAAATTTCTGAAAAAATACCTTAAATTTTAACAAAGCTTTTATAAGCTTTCTTCAAAAATTATAAAATAAGAAATCTTAAAAGTCTTAGAATCTATTTCACAGATGTAAAGGATTTTATAAAAGAGTTTACATATATTTTTTTTAGAAAAATCTAGACCTTCCTAACGCTTTTAAAAAGTTTCAATTCATATAAAAATTCTAAGAACTTTTCTAAAAGAAAAAAGTTGTAAAAATTATATAGAAATTCTGAAAAATTATATGAAGAAATCTAAGAAAACTGTATATCAAAGTATTAATACGTTAAATACAGAATATTTTGTACATAATTCGTAGCTATACTCACTTCAGGATGTCTGCATTCTTAGCAATGAATTCGACGAGATTGTAAGACAGAACGTATCCGCCACCTACGGCGTAAGGAAGATAATAATCACACAGGACCCAATCGGTTTCCTTCCAGGGACCGCTCCTCTTCACTTGTGCTCGTCCATTGAAGAAGCCCCAATAGAGTTCTCGCTTAGTGCCTTTGCTCTGCCACTTGTCGAGTTCCTTCAGGATCTTATGCACCAGCACGTACGAGTCGTCGTCGCATTTCAGCAGGTAGTCAAAGTCGTAATGCTCGTGGACGGCTTTCAGGGTGTGGAGAACCTTATAATAATAATAACAACAATAACATTGTTGAGTAGAATGATTGACAATTAGAAATTAATAAATCAATTATATATTGTACAAAGAAGTGGTTATAATTAAATAAGAGAATTCCTATATTTAGTCAAAGCGGGTCTTGTTAATGCTTAAATATTTCTGTGTGGATTTAAATACATATCTGATTGTACAAGGTGCGCCCCAAAATTTTAATTAATTAAATTTATTCTTATTAGCCCTTAAATTCGTATGATATTGTTTATCACGCGTCTCCTTGAAACATAATGCTCGTTTACTAGTTATTGGTTATTGCGATAAATATTGTTGAAATCTCGGTGGTCGAATCGGTATGATATATTTTTTTCCATCCTGGAAAGTAGGAAGTTTCAGGTTCACACACACACACACATACAAACCCTGGCTGAGATAATATTTTTCGTAATAAAATTATTTGCAGATATAAGATTCTCATTAATCTAATTTAATTATTAATATTCTTATAAAGATGCTTATTTATATCAAAAATTATTAAATTACTTGTCAAGAGTAGTGTAGTAATTAATATTACTACTCTAGTTTTGCTCATGACTGCATTACAAGATCGAAAAAAATTTCGGCACGTAGATTACAGAATTAAATATGTACCTATATAAATTTGCACATAAATATTTTAGCTCTATAGAAACAAAGCCCTACCTGATATAGATATATATAAGATATATAACTGATAGAGTACCACACGGCAAATTGTTACCTTCTTCGTCAGCGTGCCGTAAGAGTCCTGCAGCCTGGGCAACAGTAGCAGATCATCGAACTTCTGTTTCTCTGATTGCAGAGTATTCCTCTGCTCGGGTAGGATGTCCTGGGTGCCGATGACAAAGAAATGCTTCACTGTGGCATCGTGCTCGGCCAGCCAGGTCTTCCTGATGGTGTTACGGCGCTCCAAGTTGTCCGGGCTGCTTAGAATCAGGGCAATCAGCCGGTGCTTGAGCTTGCTCCCCGAAGTTTGTCGGTTCGATTGACATTCCCGCTCGGGCAGGTAGCGCACGCACAGGAAGACAAAGATTACCGCGAACAGGAACGCGAGGACATTTGCCCGGGCGAGGAACCTCCGCCGCATGATCGACTGGAGTTTAGGCATGAGATCGAGTCGCAAATATGTCATGAGTCAGCTTGGGGAGCGTCGTGGGAAGAAACTACGAGAGCACGTCTGTCAAATTTCTCCTTGCAAATTCGCACAACCAAACCTCTTCTCACTCGGAGATAGAACGGCTAGTAACAATTCGCTTTCTGATTCTTTCTCAAATCTCCAATCTTCCACAAGTAAATCGAATAAACGTCATTGAATAAATACAAAACTTTGTTAATAATTATTACCTATTAATCTGGTTAATTTCGTCAGAAATTTTTAAGATTTTAGCATCCGCACTTGATGAATTCTTCACACTTTTGATGCAATTCCCCTGACAGACTCTTTACAAATTTGCACGGCCAATGCTGTAACTGGAACACCTTCGATCTCAGAATTGCGATATAAATTACATACACGTGTAGATGTAATTCAAAAATATAAAATAAATATCAAAAGAAGACCGAGTCTGCCAACTTTAATTACGCTTCTCGCGCTTCGTCTCCGTTTGCATTATAACCTTCAGCCCTTGATAATATTTCGTTGTGATGATATTTCCGTGAGAAACGTGACCACCGTGACTATGAAGTACCGGTTGTCTCGTTTGACAATGACGAGACAATTCCGAAATCCATAAGATAAATTCTCGACCCGCAACAACTAAAAACGTCAATGATCAGCTGTATTCTGCGAATCAGCTGATCGACGCAACTCCGAGCAGGCAGGATTAGGGTTAGGTTAGGATAGGATATTTTGACATATGACACGTGCGACGTGCGATATGCGACAGCAAGCGCTCAAGATAGATAAGCGTTTATATTTTATATATTTATGTATTTGGAAAATATAGCGTATTTAAAATATGAAATAAATCAAGATATCGAATCTCGAAATTGTGAACTCTTAAATTCCCCTAATTACATTTATTAATTATACAACGGCTCAGATTATTAATTATAGCACAGAGTCCAAAAAGAATTATTTTTTTTATTCCCGATTTACGAAATGAATTTCTATTTTGTCCCATTTTCTGTTCAAAATGTTTCTGAGAGTTAATTGTGAGCTCTTTTCCAGATTTAAAAAGTATTCTTTTTTATAAGTATATAATCTTCTTTATTTTTTAATTTTGTATAAGAATAAATTATATTTTGGTTATCTCGGTTTTTACATAAATTAAATATTACTTTCATTAAAAGTAACGTACAAATATGCATAATAAATATGCATAAGATGAATTCTTTTCGAGTTGAAATGAATTAGTTCAGTTGTGTTGTCTGAGAGAATATTAATTAATATTCCGAAAACAAATATTAGAATTTTTATATGTATATGTGTGAATTTCGAAATTTTTTAAGATTTCTTATTTTATAATTTCTAAAAAAATAACTTTTCAGATTTGATAAGATTTTATCAGAAATTATACTACAGAATGAAAATTTTAGAATTTTATGTTAGTATACCTTAGAATTCATATACAGAGTATTCCTCGAATCGGTCATTTTATTAGCGTTTTCGGTATAGTAAAAAATTGAATTATCTTAGAATCGAATTAATCTAACAATCTGATACATACTGCTGATATCGATGAATTAGTTTTTTTTTATATACTATAAAAATATGGAAAGAAAAATATTGTATTTCATTTTAAAAATTTGACGATTTTTGGAGGTTAAAAACGAATAATTTTGACTTTTTTCTTACTCAATTAATTCTTCACTAAAAAACAAAAAATTTTTGTTAGAAGCATTTTGTCGTCAACCCATCAGAAGTAGCTCAAAATTGCGACCAATTCGAGGAACACATACGTACCTTATATAAAAAGAATTGTTTTAGAAAATACGTAGACATTCTGGATACTTCTAAAGTACTCCAATTTGTACAAAGAATTTAAAAAAATTTCTAAAAAAAAAGTTATAAAATTTATGTTACATTCTGAAAATTTTGAAATAAAAAAAATCTAAAATATTAGGTGAAGAAAAATTTTTATCAGAGTAAACGTAAGATCCGCTGATGGTTGTTCTGTTATTTATCTTTGCGTTGTGTTTTTAAATTCCTTTTTTTTTTCATTTTTCGAGACGTAAAAGGATATAATTTTATGTACCAGTATTTAAAAAAAATTTGAATTTACGACATTAAAGCGAAACATTAAAGTGGAAACTCGCAAACTGCTTTTGCAGTATTTACGCCATCTGCGGTTTCGAATTCAGGAACAAGCTCCGCAAAGTTTACACCTCATGTGGAATTCTTGTTTGAAGATTTAGCGTTAGAAGAATTTGTTTGTGAAGATCATAATTTATTGCTGGAAATCCAATAATAGAAACGTTTGCTCGGAAACATAAAACAACTAAACTTCTGACAAGGTTCACGGAGGAATTTTTTCTTTTTGTCGTTAAGTACCATTACCCGTTCTCGGCTGCCGCAGTCCGCAGTTCTCTTTACATAGTCACCGTAGACTCACAATGAAATAAAGTACAATGGTTCTCATTGGCAAAACGACGTTTGATATTGATACAAATAAATTATCGTTTTTTTCCTCTTGATACACATTTATAATCGTTACGTACAACACACTCGATTTGGCACTGTTTTAGTCACATTATGTAATGAATCCCGATCCCGATGTGAAATTCTTGAATTGCAAGTTCGGTAACTGTGATTCAGAAACAGATTTCGATATGACCAATGCGTTCTCCGGATAAGGCACATAGTGAGGTGCGCAAGCTATGTCAAATCGAAACGAAACTTGATATCGGTGAAAACGTAGTGCAGAAGTTCAGAAGTGCTATCGGGATATAGTGCCATCAAATACAACTATCCGTAAAAATCTACTTAAGCTAGCGTACGATTATCATCTGCGGCTTAAAAGTAATTATATTTACTCCTCGCGTAAAATGTGTCCTCGCCTAATTAAACCACACAGCTGACTCTTAGTACGAAGAATATGTATATAATCATCACATGTATATCAACAGATTTGTATTTCGATTATTACTACAACTGATTTTACTCAACAATCTTGTGTCGCAGATTTAGCATTGCGCGCGAGTGTATGTGTGTGTACGTTTTATGTGTAATTGTGGCAATATGGCAAAGGAAATGTGAAGTCGCATGCGAATTTTCCATTGTTAAAAATCCTACTCATTAACAATAATTTAATAGCGAAATTTCACGAAAATAGTATATATATATATATATATATATATATATATATATATATTTTGCGGAATAATGGAAACTACGGAATATGTCCTTTACCATATACTTTGATGCGACCAACGCTGTAGTTTGTATAAAAAAATCGATAAAATACAGAATCACATTATTATAACAACATATTCTTTTTACGTTTTGATTTTATTTCTAACTGTGGTATGCACATACATCGCAAATAGAATTGCTATTCATCTCTGTGTAGAATATAATGAAATTTAAAATATGTCTCATAAGATTCATTTAAAAAATTAATTTAAAAAATATTTTTAAAAATCCCGTAAAAAAATATTATATACTTTGATAATCTGTAAGAATGACAAAAGACAATATAACGTGAAGATATACATATATCTTCATGATTTATAAAAAATACAAAAAAATGTTGTAAATTCTGAACATACTGTGAAATCACCTTTTCCGTTATTTTTCGTTTAGCCATGTTCACGTGATTCTGATTTTATCCATTTTAAGAAGTATTTTACAAAAAGATTAATTTAAAAATTTTCGAGACGTACGAAGTAAAAATTTTTCGATCAACTCCTCTCTTTCTCGTTACGTCTAAAACTGTGAAAATATTAATTTGCTCTCTATGGTAAGTCTATTTAATTAAGTACAAAAGAGTTTTATTTCAACATTGCCTATCTTTTTTTTTCCTAGCATGAGGCATATATATACATATAAACGTATATATGTATACATATATATATACATACATATATTTAGCAGCTAATCTGTATATAATACATAAACATGATGACTCTGTGTAGCATATTCAATTGATTTCTTTATGTAACTAAAGTCTTGCTATTCAAGAGAAACTGCTTATATTTTGAAGAAATAAATTAAACTATCAAGCATTTTCTCTTTTTTTCTCTCTCTCTTTCTCTCTCTCGATTTTCTAAGTTTGTTCTTATTTATACAAAATTTCGTATTTTGCAATCTTTATCCCGTTTGATGTATCAATCACATAGAAAAAAAGAAAGAAAAAAATGATCGATCGAATACTAATATTTACATAACTGACGCAATACGAATGATACAATTCGGTTATGTAAAACTACAGCCATTATTGATTAGAGTAAGTGTATACCCTTAAGCCAGTACATGGATGATAATGTTTTTATGTATTCGCCTCGTTCGATTGTCCTTATGACATTGACAATGTTATCAGACACACTTGAGCAGTTCATTACTACCGATGTGTTGTAATAAATGTGTTTTTCGAATATCTACGCCTTGCAATCAACTATGTATTAGAATCTGAAAGAAGCAAAAGTATCAAAAGCTAAGATCTGCTGACAAACATTTACTGATCAGATTAATTTACACGTTTTGTAGAGATGGAAAGTAACATATTACTTATAATGCTGTTACCGTTATTTTTTTATAATAAATGATTTGATAATGACGTTAAAATTTTTCATGAATAATAATGATAACACCAGGCTTAGAAACAATCATTTTTGTTGAGTTTTTAGAAGTGATTCGTTATTGTTACTCATTATTCATTGAAAAAAATAACTCGTAACTTTAATTATTACGAGTAACACATTAGTAACATGTTTTACTCGATACGTAACAAATAAAATAATGAGTTATTGATGCGCTTTTTTAAATAAGTAACGCGTAATGCGTGCAGTAACAAGTTATTTTTTAAAAGTAACTTTTCTAATGACGCTATCACATTACCATTATGAGTGTAATTGTAATGTTATTTACAATTTATTGTTATCAAACCGTTATAATAAGAAAGTAATAGTAACGGTAACGGCATTACAAGTAACTCCTATTCTTGTATGTTTGTATGTGCCGAGACTTTCTTTTTACTATTTAGAGTTTAGCCTGAAATAGCTTGAGAAATAGTACCTAACCGATTCATTAGCTTTTGGTACTCTCTGTATCTTGGCGAATGTATCAATTAAGAACACTAGCCCGAAAGTTCAGAACGCAATCGAGGTTGTTTATTCAGTGATGGAGATCTGAGCAAATCCTATTAACGCCTTGTCATCTGGTATTTCGTTCACCGCATAACCAGTGTTCTGTAACAACGAGAAAAGACAATAATCTTATATTTAATAAATATAATCAAATTAAATGATAAAAACACATTTTGAATTATTATACATATATGTAATATTAAAGTATATAATTTTTGCATCTAACAAATAACATGAAGACTATTTACCAAGGAAAATGTCACTGTTCGCAATTGTCCTCCACTCTCTATCAGTTTTTTTAGATTTGTTTCTATCATTACAATGTCCTTGCCGTCGACCAAGCCCGCAGCAACTAATTCCGCTGCGATACCTTGTGCAGAGTCAATTCCAACAGTAAAATCGAATCTAATATCATTTAGCTCCCGTTTTTCATTTCTGAAAAAAGTATTTTCAGATGATTATCTTGTATTTTTTAAAAATGCATTAAATACTGAGGTTGTTATCATCTATAAAAAATAAGTATAATATATGAAAATAATATTTTCATTTGGATTTCACATACCGTAATCTAAGCACCAAGTTTATAGGTGTATTTTGTCCGGTTGCTGGCAAAGCCATTTGGCTCGGTGCTACCCTAATTTGACCATAGCATTCGTCAGGCTCGCCAGCTTCTTCGTCACTGCTGGCCTTTTCGATTGTGTTGACCGGTAACGTCTCTTTGCCTTCATCACTGCTCGAGTCACCGTTGTTCTCTTCTTCCGACCAGACCCATTCTCCGGTTACCGTTCGGTGCAAACGACCCGACGTGCCAGGTTGTCTTTTTGATGCCTGTAAAAGAAAATTTCTCTTAATATTTCTTAACAACACACACACACACACACACACACACACACACGCGCGCGCGCTTAAACATAATTTTTCAACTGTAATTTTTGCAAAAGCTCAATAAAAAGTAATTACGTATAAATTTGCATATATTGCATAGTTGACAATAAGAATATACCTTTTGTACACGTGTTTCTAAACTGGGTCCAATCGCAACTAACGTTTGCTGTAGATACTTTTTATCTTTGGCTTTTTTAAAAAAGGGATGTTTTAGCAACTCAGTGGCTGTTGGTCTAAAAAAGTATACACATTATTATTTGTAATATACATATTTTACAATCTTATACACTCATCCGTTTCTATTCTTAATTTTTCTACTTAACAATCTATACTATAAACCATATTATGATAATACCATCTTCAAGTAAGTTGAATACATCTAGCATATTACCCATTTGCTCCAACTATTCCAACTACTTCGGCAAATAGAAGTAGCAATGTAAATGAAATAGTAGGATCCTTACCTCTTAGTAGGATCTTTTTGTAAACAGTCGACGATCATTTTTCGGAATGTTTTTCCGTATGCTTTGTATTGGTCCTTGTCATCCGCAGCGGTATCCAAAGTCGGCGGATCGTTCTGCAGCGTCAGCATTAAGACCTTCATCGGAGGATATTTGTGATACGGCGCCGTGCCGCTTGCCATCTCGATCGCCGTGATGCCAAGTGACCATATATCGGCCTTAAAATCGTAGCCATGGTCCTGCACAAACAGATACGCATATCATAATTGATTCAACAGTAGATAGTATATGTGAGATTGCCAATATCTCATGAAATCGTGCTTGCAAAAGTCGCATGCTTGCCAGAACCTTCTGAATGTGATTTATAACTGTAGTCATATACACATACAGGGTGACTTGTCATTAACGGAAAATATGTTTTTGAATTTGATATCGATTTCTCTATTGACACAGCAATTATCTAATTTTATTCTGCAAAAAGCATCTTTGCTAACTTTCAAAAAGTCTTTTTATCAATCAATATGTGTATATATATTGTATATGTATATATATATATATATATATATAAAA